TCTTCTTCTTCTTCTTCTTCTTCTTCTTCTTCTTCTTCTTCTTCTTCTTCTTCTTCTTCTTCTTCTTCTTCTTCTTCTTCTTCTTCTTCTTCTTCTTCTTCTTCTTCACAGCTGCCCCTCATTTTTACAAACATTTCCTCTGGTGTTGTGACATTTTGACAGCTGCTGTTTCCGTACCGTCAGGAGGTGGAGTCCAGGTGAAGTGAGCGTTGCCGACAAGGACAATATCAACAAGCTGCTCACAGCTGCGGCGCTCAGAAGGTGAGTCCGTGACCAACGTCATCACTTCACCAACATTTGGAATCATCGCTGCACACACACACACACACACTGTGCACTTGACATGTGAAGATAAAGAGATGACTAATACCACAGAGCCTGGGTGGTGAGAATACTGGGGGGGGGGCATACGAGCGAAGGAGGTCCAGATAAAACACACTGATTCACAATGGGAACAAATCATCTGGAGGGGAGGGGGAGGAGGGACGTGGCTGCGCCACCATCAGGTCAGGGACGAGAAGAATCACAGTGAGTTGTAGGTTGGGTTCTGATTGGAGGAAGCTCAAAGGTTTCAGTACAATGACTGTATGAAATGGTTTAATTATTTAATTTTGAGAAACCCTGACAACCAGAGTCATTGATGTTCAGGAGGATTTGCAGAGAAACAAAATCTGGAATTTGCTTTCAACGGGCAGACATGGCAACCAGGATGGTCAGTGGATGAAAGGATGGGGGGGAGGCAGGAGGGAGAAGAGGAGGTGAAGTGTTAGATCTGTGAGATGATGATGTCATTACACCACCACCACCGCTGCCGCCGCCGTCGTCGGGCAGACGGAGGGAGAAGCGGCTCAGACGCAGCAGGAGGCTCCAGGTCCAGCTGGGATCAGAAAAGAGCAGATGTAACAGAGTGTGTCTTTAAGCAGTTCTCCCTGTTAGAAACAGCTTTTGATGCTGGGACTCACACACATATACACACATATACACACATATACACACACACATGTATGAACCCAGCGTGTTAACTATGTCACCACACTACTGTATCTACTATATCTAATTCATACACTATATTCTGGTGTATTTTTACCTTTGGTTTTAAAGGAATATTTACATTTTTTATTGCATTGCTTTTTGTTTTTCATAGGCTAACAATAAATGTACTGTATCTTAGATACCTAGATACATCTGCTGCAGGTTTTTTATAATTTTAATTTTTAGTCTATTTTTTTTTTTTTTACTTTACCGCTATATTTGTTGATAATTGTATTTATGCATTGTGTCACTTTTTAGTTATTTTGTTGAACAGCTTTGGCTAGTTCTAGAATTTTGATATTTAAGCTTTTTTTGTTTGCTGCTATTTGGAGTCCAGTTGTTGGCTAGACATTTCTTTAGAATCCATCTGTATTTTCCTCTAGATTTTGCCTAAAATGTGAAGATATTGATGTGTGTTGTTTCGGCTAATTTAAATGATTTGACTTTTTTTTTTTAATTGACGTTATTTTTTACATATATTTTTGCCATCGTTTATTTTGGTTATGGTGACTTTTAGGCAACATTGTTGGCCAACTGTTTACCATTCTGGTCTCTAACATTGTCTACAATTGACTTACATTTAGTTGAGTTTAGCTGTAGTCGTGTTCAGACGTGTTGTACATCTAACGTTCAGGTTTGGTTTCGTCCCAAATCCATGGTAACATTTCTGGGATCATTTTAGATTTTGTTGTTGCTTCTTCAGGAAGTACAGTACAGTACAGTACAGTACAGTACAGTACAGTACAGTGAGTTCATCTGGCCTCAGACATCTCTGTTTGATTTTATCGGTTGAACTTCTGCCTGTGTTTTTTCCATGAGGGCTGCAGGGCTTGGAGAGGATTCAGTCGTTCCGTCTTTATCTCCTGAATAAACAACATCAGAGGTGATTTTTGGAGTTAGACTAAAGCGAGTGGAAACATTCAGGGTAACGTAGAAGTTTTTACAATATGGCCGTAGAAAAACTGCCATGTTTTTTCTCCCGTTGAATGATATTTTTTCCCTCCAAAGTGCCAGTGAGGGCCACAGTTCAGAGGGTGGACTGGTGTGATTGTTGTTCACCCCAGTGCTGTGACAGTCACTGATGTCTCAACAGCAACACCTTGGCTTCTCTTTAGATTTCCATAGAAATCACAGTTCAATTTGCATCATAAACCTGTTTGGTGTTGTCATGGCAGCAGCGGCGAGAGCAGCAGCTAATGAGAAACACCGCCCTTCCTTACTGCGTTCAGGGGCGAGTAATTGCATGGCTGCCTTCCTCGCTACAGTCCAGGAACTGGCTTTGGACTTGATTTCCTGCCCCGACACCAAACAAATGTGTTGTTCAGAGGCCTCATTAAATACAGCCTGATTAGCTGAGGGTAGGGTTCAATTGAAAGAGAGAGAGAGAAAAAAACAGAGTTTATTGCACTAATACCCTCATGGGTGGGTGATGCCCCCGCCCGTATGTCAGTTGTGCTCATGATGACGAGCAGAGAGGAGCAGCAGAAGCCCTTTTTTAATTGTTTGTTTCCTCAGGTTAATGGATGTGAATGTGCTCCATTATTCTGCTGGTTTGGTTCTGGCTCGGTTCCACAGTCGTCCTCGTGTCAGGACAGAGGAAATCTTCCACTTAAATACTGTGTAAACAAGACACATTCTTCTTTTGGAGTCTGCGCCAAATTGGCAAAGACAGATTTAGAAATGTCCAGCCAAACTGGAAACAAATGGGCAATAATCTGGAGCTGAGCGTTAGATTAACAGAACAGAGACCATTTACCAAAAATACCACATTACCATATTTTCTAGTTTAGCTTTAGCTTTAATAGTTAGCTTAGAGGATCACTGAAAGCTAGCCTATACTGTAACTAATTAAATCTAGGTAAAAACAAAGTTAGACATTAAAAGCTAAACCTGATTCAAATGTCTTAAAAAGCTAAAGGTTAGCCAAAATGTAGCTAAATGCTAACCAAAGATATGCTACAAAACAAAGAGTTTACATTCCACTAAATGCCAATGAAAAAAAAGGAGAAATAAGTCAAATAGAAAATGTATATGGAAAACATATCTAAATATATTTATATATATTTAGATATGTTTAAATATATGTATATGTATTTAGATATGTTTATGTGTGTATTTGTACTTTTTAAACAAACAAAACCAGTTCATTTACATATAAATATACACATATATGTATATATCTATATATGTATATATTTATATATGTATATATATATATACATATGTCTGTATTTGTACTTGTTTTGCTGTATTTTTAAAATGAAAACTCCAGTTTTTCCTCAGTTCTTATACGAATGATTAAGTACAAACTCGTACTCGCAGCCTGGCGTGTCAGTAAAAGTTATGCTTTTATTGTCGTGTCACATCTTACGACTAACGTTGAATTACAAGACACTAACGTTGTTAAAATAACAATCGTGATAATGACGGCGCTGACAGTTCGTCGTAGAAGAACATTAGACGTGTAGTTTTTAATGTGACTTTTATTGTCTTTAAAACGTGAATCATCTCTGGGTTTGAGCATCAACAAACACTGGCTTTGGTTTAATTTGACATTCATTTTCCCATTCATTTAACAGGAGATGTCGTTATTAACTCGTTTTATTGACTAATGGTCGGTCGTCCGTGTGAATCATTTTAAAATATGAGCGACACACTCTCTGGACTCCTAATGAAGAAGTTCCACTTCTCAGGCTGATGCATGTGATGCAGACTCTCAGTGATGATGCTGCAAAAGCTGCCATTTTTAAACATACCAGAGAAAAACCACAGAAGATGAAGATACTGTAGCTAATAGTTAGCCAAATTTACAGGAACTAAATTAAAATATTACAAAATACCTTAAAAATGACTTAAGCACAGTTTAACTATCACAAAATGTCTGAGGTTATTTAAAAAATACGGCTAAAAGTTAGCCATGATGTGGCTAACAGTTAGCCAAAGTGGCCTTAAATGACTTGAATGTATAAATGTATAAAAGATAACATTTCCTTGGGACAGATTTCTTCATTAACTGGAAACATTCAGAACTTTTCTTTTTTTTTTCTCTCATATTCTGGTGTTAAAAAACCAAATCAATACGCTCCAGGTCGGAACCCCTCAAATGGAACTCTTAACACGTTCAGCCTTTATTTTTCTCCTGTGACTGTGAGTTTGTTGCAGAACAAATGTGGCCTGAGCAGCTGTTTATTGAGGTCAGTGATGAGAGTGAAGAGAAGAGGAGAGAACAGAGCCACAAACTGAAACTGTGTATTGATTTTTATTGGGAAAAGTATGAAAAGAAGCTTGGGGTAAAAAAAAAAAACAAACTTTTTTTTTTGTTTCATTTCTCCTAAGAATTTTCACATCTTTCCATGCATCTTACAGATAAACGTGGAGTGAGTGCAGTACAGGAGGGACAGTTTATCAAGGGTTGAAGGAGCAACAGCAGTCGTGATACAGAGGCGGTGGTGAAGACGGAGGAGGGAGGCGAGAAGAGAGAACAGAGCCACCGTGGAAGAATGTAGGCGAAGGAGGACGGACGGTGAGATAACAGAGGTGATGGTGGGACGAGGAGTCGGGAGGAGATGCTCAATGTCCTCCATTGTGGACTGAGTGGGAGGTGGGTGTGATGCTATCTCTCTATCTTCACCCACAGCTGCCATCACTCCTCCTCCTCCTTCTCCTCTTCCTCTTGCACTCTCTCCCTCTCTCAGTCCATGTGCTTAGAATGCAGCATGTGATGAGACGGTGGAACAGTGGTCTTCAAGGTGTTTGAAACATTTGAAACATATTTAATTGAAACTCTTGTGACAATAGAAGATTTCAGAGGATAAAAAAGTGACTCGGTAAAATTCAAGTATTAGTAAATATTATTTAGTATTACAGAATATGACTGAGTTCAAGTATAATTCATTTAGTGACTGCAGTCTGGTCCATGGTCTTGGCCACAGGGATATTAGCATGTACTGTGGCCCACATGCTAGCACAGGAGTAATTAAAACCTTAGAGACATTTTAGTCCTTAAAGATTCCCCACTGTTATGTTCTCTGAATGTAAAATCATAAAATCTATATTTAATGTTTAATTGTTTTTTAAAAATCCTTATTTTTTCATCTTCAGGTTGACAACGAGGAGATGGATCTAATTCCCTCTGACATCGGGAGGAAGTTGCACTGCACCTTTTTAGTCTTTTATAGAAGTATTCTCCCTAACTAGCCACGCTGCGTGATTTTGGACTGTAGAGCCGTCACTGTCTCACCAGTTATCGACCTACTTTGAGACAATGACGGCATCTATAAAAAAAAAAATTGTTTTGAAAACTTTGTTTCAAACACATTTTTTTTTTTTTACAAAGTTGTTTAATGATGTGGCTCCTGACACGGAGAGTTGTGTCCTGATAAGTCACTGATGTAATCTGTGTATCTGTATGTTTAAAGAAGAAATATATATATATATAATAATACATTTGGTCCATGTGAAAAATTATTTCCTCACAATATAATACAGACTATCATTTAACAGGAAATATGATTTATGGGCCTTATTGTTGCTGTGAATACTTTTCAAAAAAGTATTCTCTACAAAGTATTTATGTATGAATAACTTATTTATTTTTATAGATATATTTAGTTTGTGGTTTTGTAATAAAGTAGAATGTTAAAATCAGATATTTTTCACTAATTGGGACTGAATTTATTATTTAAAAAAACAAAACAATTTAGTCACAAACTCTAATTTCGAAGTGTTTTTTGTATATTTATTTATTTTTTCCGCAAAAGTCAGAGTATAACAAGGTGTAACCATGGTTTCATTTGAGCCGCATCGCGTTGCACAATGCTTGTATCTGTTGGTTATCCTGGCTGAACGGAAGTTTGCTTCTTCTTTCTTCTTTATAATACAATATCCTTATCAATCACACGGCCTCTTCGGCCATAGCAAGAACCGGAAGTAGAAGAAGTAGGCTCCATCTTATTGTCTTTAACACAAAAATGTAGGACGTAAAACCCCACCAGGAAGTACGAATCCCATCGATGATTCTGTGTGCAATTCCGAGGTCTGTTAGAGGACCTGCCATGACGTGATCGCGCTTTGTTGTTCCTGACGCGGCTACGCGCAAACAATTAAGCCCATCTGCGCGGATTTGGAAAATGTTTAGCCGCGTTAGCTCCGTTAGCCCCGTTACCTAAAATATTGTTATTCCATGATCAATGCAATTCCCAAGGATCGCGACGGTTTAGAGTATGCCCTTAACTTTCCCTCAATAGGAAAAAAATGACAGAAGGACAAGAAAGCTTGCCGAAGTTTTTTAAACTTCCGGAATTGGAAGCCAGAGGCTCCGGACAAATATGCTAAGCATTCCGGTAGGAACAGATCTATGTTATTCTTTGCTGTGTTTGTGTTGATTATTAGTTATTAAGGTGGCTAATTTTGCATTTACATATATATGTATGTGTGTGTAGCCTATTATGGGTTTTAATGTACATAATCAAACGGCAAGGCCGACAGGTACGTAGCCTAAGAAAGTTGTTGTTGTGGTACACGGTCATGGTCACATTTAATAGATAAATTAATATTCATTGCGGATTGTGAAAACGATAAGATTGAGGTTTTGTCACAATTACGTTGTTCTCAGGTCAATATTTAAAACAATGTAAACAAATACTGCTGGATGTGCTCAGTACTATTTAATCAGAGTAGCTAGAACCGCACCCTTTTTGAGTCACTGGTGTTCTGAAGTTTTTTTCCTACCTA